CCACCACACACAGGTTGTTGCATGCCCAGTTTTTATACTACAGCTCAGTTTGGTATGCAGTATATAATATCTCCACCGGGTGTCACTCTTTCTCACAGTATTGTAATTCATAAAAAGTAGGGTTGCACTGATTCCTTTTTTCCAGACCAAGTAAGAGTACTGATACTTTTCCTCAAGTACTCGCCGATACCAATTATAGATACCCTCTTCTTTTTTTGTGTGTGTCATGTGACCAGTATTTCTAAAACAATACAGATTAATGATTTTAGGACAGTGGTAGGATGCCAGGGTCGGGTCCGAGCTGCGACCATGGTAGTTCTGCCACTGACTACAAATCTCAGCAATGTATTATACATCTAAAAATCCCAGTGATATATTATATTGCAATACAGAATACCACGAGCTATACAGTACTACAAATCTCAGTAATACATTAAACAGCAATGCAGAATAATACCATCAGCTAGAGAGGACTTCAAATCCCAGCAATACATTATACAGCGATGCAAAATAATATGAAGCTACATACTCTGTGCTGCTCTGGGGTGCCGGCCTGATGTCTCCAGCAGAGGATCCCAGGTGGGCTGTGGGGGCTCTATGCTGGGCTGTGCAGCTTTATGCTGGGCTGTGAGGGGTTAATGTTGACTCTGCGGCTCTGTGCTGGCCTGTTTCAGATGTCTTAGACACGTAGGGCTGGGCTCCTTCAGATGACTTGAAAGCGGAGCAACAAAGCTAAAACACATCCACTACTTTCCTAATCTAGATCTGGTGTAAATAAGCCTACTGCAGTAACGGGGCAGCACTGAGCTGCTTGAAGATCAGATGACATGCAGCCTGTTCATTGTGTACTTGGATTTTGAAATGCACTAATGCTGTGTAAGAAATCTAAAGCATGTTTCTGGTTCTGCCAGCACTCCTGACAGATAAAATTGAATAATCTGAGCCCAGTCTTTCTTATAACCCATTTATAACCCATTTATGACCAGAAGTCATTAAAGACAAGAGGGCCAGGCCAAGTTTACCGATGTCCGTGAACTTAACAATTACTTATTTGCCTAACTTCTATAAGGGCATATAAGAGTTCTGTTTGGTACACCACTTTTTAGAAATACCCCACTATTTTTTTTATTCTAGGCTGATAAACATTTGTCCTCAGCATTTAAAAAAAAAAAGTGTCTAAAAAACTTGTTAGATGATTACACTGTATTGTCCTTTTTAAATTACCATATTTCCTACTCTGTGCAGAAATGAAGAAAAGCTCTGACCGCTGGAGCCAGGGGAGGTTTGCTTACAATCAAACATCACATGACCACCCTAATTGGCGCTCATGGTGGTCACATGATCTAGAACCTCAGTGATTGTTTCCCTATCACGCTGCTTGCTGTCAATTAACATTCTCGTGCACGGTTCCCTGTCCAGAAAGAATGCGTGTTTAATCTACAGCTTGTGGTTGAAAATCAGTTACATAACATGCAGATCAGATAAATGGGAGCAGAGCTCTGAAAATGTTCCACTTTTGGCCCCGCAGTGTTGTGTGTGTGTGTGTGTGTGTTTGTCTTTGTGTGTGTGTGTGTGTAACCCACATGTCAATCACCAAAAATTCTTTGTCATTAATCGGACCCTTTTTTCCCCTCTTCTACCCAGAATGCGTCTCCAGATGCAGCTCCCGCCATTCCACAAGGGAAGATCCCACTCACAGGGGGACACAATGCACAGACCTCCTGCAGTGCCCTTAGACCAGGTGAGTAGCTGCCAGCATGTATTTTACTCATGTATAATTTTCCCTATTCACCCACATTTCACAGCATTGTAAAGCTAATATATCACTTGGATAAAAGTGAGTAAAAATAAACAGTACTGGCAATCTTCTAACGCCTGTCTGTGTAACTGGGCCAGAGCTGTGGCTAGCTCCTTTTTTTGCCGAGGCAAGAACAAAAAAGTGTCCCCCCGACAGGCATATGACGTAACCCGCATGCGCGGTCGTTCTTTACACTGTGTTTTTTTTTTTTTTTTTA